CTGCTTCCCTGGGGAAACGGGTCCTGCTCCTGTGAGGAAACAGGTCCCACTGCTCCTGCGGGGAAACGGGTCCTGCTGCTCCCTCTGATGCCCAGCAGATCACTGGCAGATCCAGAACCACCTCGGGCACCCTCCACACATGCAGTTATTCCCAGAGGCTTTTCCCTCATCCCCACTGCCCACAGGGAAGGGCTTCTTGCCATGAGGTAAGACCAGGAGCGCAGGAGGGAGAACGTCCTTCCCGCGGGGGCGCCTGAGCAGAGGTCGCCCAGAGAGGCCGTGGGGGTGTCCGGGCACGGGGCTGTGCCACGCGCTCCGCGGCCCTGCGCGAGCAGGGTCCAGCTCCAGAGGCCCTTCCCGAGCTCSGGTGACTCCGCGGCAGGTCCCGTGGCAGCGAGGGAGCCGCAGGCCGCTCTGAGCGGCCACTGAACCTCGTCCCTTACCCCGTCCGCTCCCCGTGGTGCCTCCTCGCCACAGCGATCAGGTTTCCTTTCAATCCCCTTTCCATGAAAACAGWCTGAATGGCTTAAACCTCTCTCTGTAAGTCTTCCTTTTTCTCCTGGTCCTCAGCTATTTGTAGGCTTGTTATTTAAAAAAAAATATATATTTTTTTTGGAGAAGTTTACGGACCTGGGACGGCAGCCTCAGCCCCGCACAGGCCGCAGGTGAGACGAGGCTGAGGAAGAGCAGCAGAAAGGGCACTTGCTCTCGCAAATAGAGGAGAATTGGGTTACAGAGAGCTAATATTTTTTTCTAGGAGGTGTGATCCTTTCTAAATCGGCTCTCTGCCAGAACCCTTAAAAAAGCCAATTCACAAACAGTTTCCACCTGAGGAATAATCAGCTGTGTGAAGCCKTAAGCTTTTCCTTTCCCGCAATGATAATCCTTCACGGAAACGCAACAGGGATTTCTGCAAAGTCCATCAAGGCCGTCGGTGCAATAACTGCAGCTTTGCCTGCCCCGGGGCTGAGACCAAGTTCTGGGGCTTGGCCAAGTCCCGGCTTTGCAGGAGCTGCAATTGGGGCTGCTTTTGTAGGAGGAGAGGGTGAAATGCCGGCCTGCACTTCCAAACGTGCAGCGCCCCTGCCCAAAGCCTAGGGCAGCATTTCTAACAGAATGCCCCGTTTTGGTTAATTACAGGAATCCTTCAGTCCTCTTCCCGAGGAAAGCTCGGGCTGCAATGGATCCTCACCAAGCACCGTTAGAGCCCCCTGAACTTCCGTGACCACCCCAGAGGATCAATCTCCCTTCCATGAAGACTAACGTGGATGAAAAAGGAGGGTYTCTGCTTATGCAGGTGTCCTAAAATTTATCCAGTGGCTAAAGAGACCAAGCTGCCTTATTTATTATCATTGCTGGGACACACACTATGAAGATAAATGTGTTTCTTTAGAGCCATTCAGTGATTACAGGCCAAAAAAAAAGGAAAGTGGYTGGATTTGATGCACTGTCGCCCAAAGGCCTCGGAACACGGCTATGTGCTTTGACAGACACATTCCTGGTGGAGAATTACAGACGTTATGGACACGACACGACGTTATGGACACCACACTTCTACACACACGCACRAAGATGACACGTCTGGGGCTCGGCCGTGTGATCTGAGCCCTTGCTGGGGGCTCTGCAGCCTCCCCTGAGCTCCAGCTACCGCTGGAAGAATTTGAGGGCTTCCACGGAGCGGCTTAAGCGCAGTGCTGCAAATATTCCTGAAAGGCTCTAAATTATAGCAGCTCTATTGGAGCTAATTTAATAGAGCGGCATTGCTCCATTGAAAGCCACCCGCATGGTCCTCACGGTGCTGTCAGGTCTCCCTTCAGCATTCAAGTATCCGTCTTCCTGGCCCTGCACATTCCTGGGAGCAGGCTGTGATCCTGCCCTGCACCAAGGGTGTTTGTTGGCATTTAGGTGTCTCCATTAATTCTAAAACTAGATGAAATTAAGAAGTCCCAGGAATTCAACATACTTCAAAACTCAAAACCAAAATATACTGCAGCCATCCCCTGAGGTGTGCCATGGGGAGGGATCCGTGCGTGATCCCAGGGATCCGGCCTGCGGGAGGGAGCCTGGAGCCCCGCACAGCGTTTCAGCCACCATCCCAGCAGGATTCGTGGCCCTCTGAGGTGGCACGACTGTCCCGCACGAGAGCGAATGCCAGGCACTACCCAGACAGGCTGTGCCTCCCGAGAGGATGATGATCCTGGTGTTCCAGCCGAGGGAATGACCAGGGCGCTGGCTCCGACAGCAAAGTGGGGCAATGCAGGGAAGAAAAGGTGCCTGTGCCAGCCCGGGYGCTGGGCAGTGAATCAGCTGGGTGGTAGTTACATATTTCAGAAGTCTGGCCGTTCAAATTGCTCCCCATGGGTGTAATTTTCATACAAAAGACAATATTATTGGCTTCAGAGGCACCAAAGCCCACTGAAATTTCTGAGGGATGCTATTTTTGAACAGAGGTTGGCGTGAATCTGGAAGCTACTGGGCTCCTACCCCCAAAAATGAAACCGGGCAGAAAAGAGCCCCTGGCTGGATGGTGAGAACGGGGCTCGAGCCTGCGCTGCTGCGTCACGCACAGACCCTCAGCCCCGGCCTTTTGAAACAAAATACAGAAATGAAAGACACCAACCTATAGAAATATAGAATGTTTTCAACAGCATCACCAAGGGAGAAACCCCGGCAAATCCACCTCRCAGGAGAAAGACTCCCGTCTGCCAAGCAGGTCTCTAACACAGCTCTGGACCGAGCCCATTTTGTGCAAATGGGATCGCTGCAGGCTATAGAGGTATAAATACATATATGTGATATAAAAGTAAAGGGTATCAGGAGCACAGTGAGACTCCCTGGCACCTTTCCAAGGAGCTGTTTTACAGGRAAAGAGTCCAACTTGGAAAAAGCGTTGTCAAAAACTTTTATTTGTTGAGCTTTGTAGTTTTACATAAATGCTGAACTTAACAAGAAATCACTTTGCATTTTTCATCTGCAAGCAAAATACAGAAACACAGAAAAGATTAGTCTAGATTAGCAGCCAGATAATGAATCAATAGATGTGCTGTGGAACAGAGCTTAGGCGCTTGGGAGTTTATGTAAAAAATAATAAATTAGTTCTCTTAAAATTACATTGTACTCTATGTGCACAGATGTGCATTTTCTGTTGGTTCACATTTTTATGTTGTACAAACGTATAGTTTCGTTTGTGTGTTAAAACAGGTAAGAATCAGACAACAGCTCAAAGCAAAGGCCGTTTCAAATATCTTCCGAAGCCAAACAGAGTCTTCCCGTCCCCCTCAAGAAAAGCAAGCTCATTCTCAAACTAYTAAAGTCTTACAGGTCTATGGAGCGATGGCAATTCTAATTCCTATTTTTTTTTTTTTTTAATAAATAAGCTGTTTTAAAATCCTAAGTTATCAGTTAGACATGTCTAGTAATCCACAGGTACAGCAGYTGACAGGGATCCCTCGTATGTTAGTTGACAGAGATCCACAGGTAATAATAACACTTGGTAAGCAAACAACTGAACAGAAACACTTTGCCTACCCACAGCGAACCCCCCCGAGCCCCCCGAGCCGTCCTAGGCAGGGGGCAGCAGCAGGGCGGCCCCCTCGGCACCGGCCGCGGGCCGTGGCGGCCGTGCAAGGCCCCGCTCTGCGTCCCCGCGCATAGGCGGGCGGCCGCCCGGCGCGCTCCATGGCTGCCGCGCCGGGGTACCTGGGCGCTGCTGCACCGGGCGCCTCGCGTCCTCAGCGGCGGCCTCGGGCGCTGCTGCTCTCGCTGCGGGCGGCGGCKCTGCCATTTTGTGCCCTCTGGCGGCGCTGCCATTTTGTGGCGACGCTGCCATTTTGTGCCCTCCGGCGGCGCTGCCATTTTGTGGCGACGCTGCCATTTTGTGCCCTCCRGCAGCGCTGCCATTTTGTGGTGACACTGCCATTTTGTGCCCTCCGGCGRCGCTGCCATTTTGTGCCCTGAGGCAGCTGCCCAGCCGCGGGCTCCCACACTGGGTGCCCACGTCCACCTTTCCCGGCGGCGACGCGGGGCTCTCCGTCTGCGAGCACACGTCGCAGCTCGCCCTGCGCGCCACCCACTCCCTCCTTGTGGCGCGGAGGAAGGAGCTGCTCTCGCGGGGAGCAGCGGCCTCTTTACTTCCCTCCCCCGTGGCTGCTGCAATGGAGTCTTCCTGCTGCAGGGGGCTGGCTTCGCCCTTGCCCAAACTTCTGTTGGGATGCAGAGGCACCATTACGGTCAGGGAGCTCGTGGGCTCCGCTGAGGTGGGATCGGCTTTGCCTGTCTCCAGGGGCTGTACTTTGACACAGGCCTTCRTCCCAGCTGCGTCTTCCTCTTCAGACTGTTTGGGCAGAACTGTGTTAATGTAGCCCCTTGTTAAAATAATTCCATAACTAAGTTCTAGAGGTTTACTCCATTCCTGACAGATCAGGACTGGCTTGGTTTGTTTGTGTCTATTCTTTCCATAGGGATGTGCTCCCAGCTTTRTCAGGGACAAAGTGGCTAAGGTGGTACCACTGTTCTTCCCTATTTTGTATTCGTAAGTTGTGGCATTTATGTGTAAAAGAGTTAGCTAAAAATATGTTAAAAATATTCTCCTCCCTTGCTGGCCTGCCACGCAGGGCAGCTGTACAGCGCAGAGGAGAGCAGAAGCTGCCTCAGCACCTTCCAACACGCACGTTATTGTGATTCCAATACTGCAATTCCATGGGGTCTGCCATTAGCAACGCACCAGGCCACATACCTGTTACACTACAGCCAGTTACAGCTAATTGCTTCATGTTTTCCTCACATTTCCTTGCATAAACAAAGCTATAAACAAGATTCCAACTCCATCTGCCCCCGGGCGTGCCGATACCCTTGGGAGAACTGTTGCGAGCCCCCGAAGAACTCACCAGGTCAGGACTGGAGCTGAAGCAGCTCTCTGTCTGTCTAGGGGAATAACTGGGAGAGCGGCTGCTCAGCGAGGACTCCGTGTCTGAAAGAAGAGCTCACGCTGAGCGCAAAGTCACGCACGGAAACACTGAGCTCGGAAGCGGAGCAGGCAGCATCGCACTGCGGCCGCCTCCGAAGCGCCAGCGGCGCCGCTCGCGGCCCTCCTAGCCCTGACCCAATGGAGGGAGGAGGAGCCCCGTACGGCCGGACACGGAGGTGACACTGCAAACTCCTGGCACCCTTAGTCAAGGGTCCTCATCCTCTTGGGAATCCCTCAGGAATGTTGGGCGCTCACATGCAGGCAGTGCTGCTCATCCTGCCCAGCTGCAGTTGGGGCGACCACATCAGCTCCTCTGACCTCTCCAGCGGATTCCTTTTCAGCACTTACCCTTGMTGTCAGAGCTGGCTTTTAGATTAGGGAGTGGTCTTGGGAGAAATGAGACAATGACAGATACCTGGGTAATGCAGAGAGGGGCTAACCTGAATTTACGTTTTTAAGGAAAAGCAGATACAGATAGCTCTTGGCTATCCAATAACGCTAGTCTTCCTTATACTGCATTGCATGAATCAAACATACAACTGCTCATCAAATGTAACATCCCAAAAAGATGAAAACATTTCTCCTTGGCTTTAAAAGTAACTCTTTCTGTTTTATATGTGGGCAAAAATACCTGTTTTCTGACTTTATAATGTATAAACGGTACTAACCCTTCTTCAGCTTGTGAAGTTTTGGACTCATTCCAAACTTATACTCCTTCTCTTCCACTGTCGCAAACTTTTAAAAATAAGTAAAAATGTTAATAGGGAAGGTTCAATTGGATCATCAGCTTAGGTTAAGTAAGTCAGGAATATTCAGTCTCTGTGGTACMTAAAGGAAGCCATTGCACTGTACAGCAAAACCCATAAGCAATAATACTGTGTGTTCACCTGGGTCACTTTTCCCAAATAGGAAGTATTTATATGAATCCAGGTGTAAAGTTCCTTTATAATRATGAGGAACCCTGTAAATAATGCCCGGACCACAGTGCTAAATCTGWTCTAAAGGGCAAATGGTAACTGATATATTTATTATTTTAGGCATCAACTTAGTTGTGCATAAAAGCATTTAAATAAAGGCCCTGTAAGTGCTGCTTGAATTAGGTAACTGGAAGTTGCTCCTGTTGGACTCCCTGTACAAACAATGAAAGAAGAGGAGCTTCCARAAAGTTAATTTGGAGAAGTTAAATTCCATTTATAAATGGTGCGAATATCCCTCTTCCCACCCAAATAAATGATGCAAATACATTGGTATTAAATAACACAAAATATGTTTCTTTAAAAAGTTACCTCTTCAAATCCAAAGAGCTGGCCTTGTCTCCAAGTTGATTCTTTCCCATTTGAGCTGTCACTGCAAACATACAGTTCTTTGGTCAATGATTTCTGCTGTACTTTTATTTGCTTTTTGAATTAAACTCATTACTGTGCAGATCTTGCAACACATTTCAGTACTGTATTAAATCACTGTGCATTGTTATTTGTGAATTTATCTTTTGTCTTTTGGAATGAGAAAAAGCTTTCCACTCTGGAGATGATTGGACTTATCACAGAATCTTGCCATATAACACCACAAATCTTTTCTTTTTCCGATCTTCACTACTTCTACACGCTTCTACTCACTCCAGAAATGTGAAATATAATGTGAGATGATTGAGTGTAGCTTAGTAAAATGGAAAAAGTTACAGCAACTTCAACAAAACTGTCTTGATATAAAATGTGGGGCACTCGCACACACTGGCTCTAGTTCAGGGAAGGCAGCTTCTCTAGACTTCATCTACAGTCCATGGAAAGATTCAGGCTCCTTTACAGGACAAGTCAGAGCAACAGCTTCACTTCAGGCTCTCAAAACTGTCCCATGAAGGAGTCTGTCTCTTTRCTGATCACTGGGAGACAGACCATGGTGCACAATATTTACATGCATGTCAGTTTATTCATATTCTATTTTTTTTTTTTTTTTTTGCCCTGAGTAGTAGTATTTAGAATTTTGCCATCATATTCAGTTGGCCAAGATTTCTCCCATTCAGCAAAGTCTCTGCACTTATCACTAGTTATTAGATGGACAGTTTTTATGACACTCACCTCTTGTTTCTTGAGTGTCTCTGCAAATCTTCCTGTAAGTTAATCTGCTGACCATGGCGATACGTAAATGCCTCTAAAACCAAAAAGTAAACCTAGATTTAAAAGGCAGCAGCTGTTAAAATTAAATGTTTCTATCAACCTTTTATTAATGGGATCTCACATTCAATTACTGCAGTTTCAAAATTCATGACACCTTTTAGGTCAGGGTAGACATACTTCTGTTTACAAAAACCATCAGTCTTTAAAAGGAGGAGAAACCACAGCATTTATGTCCTTAAACTACTGTCACTCACCATGTTTTTCAAGTCTTGCAAGTTCCTCTCTGTTTTCAGAGGGTGCCAAGTAGTATTGATTCTTGTGATGATAGTCCTGCAGGCAGGTTTTGTAAGGTTCTCTGTGTTCTTCATAGCTTGCATTTGAAAAAATGTTACTTTTAAACAAAACCTGTTCTGGAGCTGTGAAAATGCCTTTAAGATGTCTGTCTACAGAGCCTCCTTTTGCATTAATTGCAGGATGAACCTCCCCAGTCTCGTAAGTAAAACTTCTCTCCGTCATTTGATTTCTGTCATCAGGACCAGGGAAAAAATCAGCACTACTGCTTTGGTTAACAAAAGGATTAAAATGCTTTGTGGAGAGATCATCACAGTCTGGTTGGTTCTCATCTTCAAAGATTGTCAGGAAGGAGCAATCACGTTCATCTCGGGCAGGTACCAGCTCTGGGGGTTCTTTCACAACACTGAAAAAGGGCTCATTTATCCTTTGGATACTTTCTGGTTCTTTACTGGTCATTAGCACTGGATTTTYGCTGGCAGAATTCATATAATCTGGCCTTTGTGGGTGAGAAAAGGAAAAACAGCTTGCTGAGTGCATAGATAAGCAAAGTGGTAAACTGCTAACACAACAGATAATCAACTTGGTGCTAATAATGTCAAAGACTTCCACTTTACTGCATGTCACATTGCTTTTGTCCCAAATGTATGTTATTTCAGCTGAAAAAAAAACCACTGTATTTTATTTCCATTTTCTAGTAAAGTTGCTTTAGAAAGGGCTTTGTTTTTAGAATACCTTTGAAAATACCAAGGCATGGAGCACTTCCTCCTCAATAAGGCGCTGTGATTTATAAAATCAGCCACAGTATGTCACTGCTGCTCCACTCAGCTGACCAAAGGAGCCCATTTTGGAAGCAAAAATAAATAAATAAAGCACAAGGAGCTGCTTCTGTTTATAGCAAGTCAGTCTACAGTTCACTTCCATACTGAAAGTCCATAATAAATTCCATATATTGTTTAGCTTGTGTTCTCTTCAGCTAAGTGTCTTCCACTTGTACCCGAGGTCAGTAAGAAGAGGATAAAAAGCCTAGAGAGCCTAAAGAGAAATGAGTGCCCTCTACTTACAGAAAACCCCATATATATACTTTCATTACAAAATCAGCAGGATGTTACAATTACATTCAATTATTACATAAATATGTTCTTTGCTTTTAAACAGTGGAGGACTCCTAGAAATGACAGCTATTGAGGTAAAAGAATTTGTGGGGATCTTGGCTGAAAACAAGAAAGATCCACAGAAATGGATCTGAAGAACAGTCCTGTTCTTTAGAGAAAGAAGAGCTGTTGTTTGGAGCCATCAACAGGCAGAGGACACAGCTGCCATGAGCMGAAGATGGAGCTTAGAGACCCATGGAGAAATGAAAGGGGAGTGGTAGGTGAGATAAGACTGTGCAGGGCTTTGGTGGAAAGATATTCATCAGGAACTCAACCAGACCTACTGCAAGGTGAATGTTAGCCTCAGTTTAGGTTTTGCTGGAGAAGACTAGGAGAAGCTGGGAGAAGACAGAGACATTTCACCTGGCTAAAACTGATGGGCCCGTTCAGTCATGAGCTGGTGAGAGCAACAAGAGGTCATCAGTCTCCTGGTTCCCCAGCAAACTGGCTGTGAGCACTTCAGGAACAGCAGAATGATGCATGATTTTTGTATGGGTGTAGCTAGCCAAAGCTAGAAGCTGATAGCAGCRTGCAAACAGGCTTAGGGAATTAAAAACTGGAGGAAAATTAGGAAAACCACTGAAATTAAATGTTCACTATGGATGTGTTTGGTTCTGAAGCCTCTGTGGATTAAAAACTTTAATCAGCACTTTAAACGGGAAAATAATTCTAGATTTCTGCTGCTGCTTTTAAAAATTAAAGTCTATGTTCTCATAACAGTGTTTCTCAACCAAACACTTGAAACACCATAGTAGAATCATTTATGTACATGAAGCAAAGCAAATATTTTGTTCCTGGAAGCTCARATGTAAACAGTGCAGAAGGAGAAGTCGCTCAGACCCTGCAGCATCAGTGTCCCCAGAGAAGCCCATGCAGCAGTGAGCAGAACTGATGAGCCCAGGGCAGCCACCTCCCCGCTGCCCTCCCAGGAAATTCAGCTTTCCTCAGCCAGTGAATTCAGTAGCACCTTCTAACTCGTGGCACTCCCAAAAATGCATCTTGCTTCCAAACGCCTTTCTAAAAATCACACTTTGCCACATTTGGGCAAATTTAAGTATCCTGGTATGTTCACTCCTCCCATTTAGTCTCCATTTCCATTTGGAGAGCATCAAATAGTGAAAAATCAAATAAGCAATAAGTTTCAGACGATCTTAGTAATTTTCTTTTTTAAATGGGCCTATTTTTTCCCCTCTTGCTAATGAAAATCACTGCCTACCTGTTCAATGGCTTGAAAAGTTCCTGAAGTTCTGTATCAGACTGCTTGAAAATACACTGGCTTGGGGTTTGCAGTATCCAGGGGTCTTGATCAGAAGTATTTCCTTCCTGAGAAGAAAGACAAGCTGTCAAGCTGTGCATGCCTGCAATACTTGCAGTGTTTTAACCATTAAAATACTGCCTGCAAACAAGATTTTTTTTTAACCTTTTTACTTCTTTACACCTTTATGGTAAAGCCCCCAAAATACCTATAGCACGGCTGAATCAGTCTGCAAAATGCCTCTTCCACAGTTTGGAGATTGCCAAGGATGGAGATCTTTGGATGACCTTTCTTGGTGCTTAACCACTTTTGTGACATTATATTTATGCATTTTCTACACAATCAGAATTGCTGCTGAAACAATCCCTTCTCCGAGACCTCCTTCTGGCATTTGGGCTCCTGGGCACTTCCCCATGCAGCCTGGCTGCCCTCCTGGAGCTCCTCCTTTTCCAGCCCTTTTGATGGATTTTTCTTGTGTCCTGAAAGGGTGTCCATGAGGAACAACCACCTTTCTCAGGTTCCTCTGTCCCTCAGGCCTTTCATGCCTTCCTGCCTACAAGTTCCCTGAACAAGCCAACATCTGCTTTCCTGTGGCTCTCCAAAACTCCTTCCTCCCCTCCCCTGGGATCTTAAAATACCACTGGTGATATTCTTAGAGTTAAAAATTTATTATTTCCATGCAAATAATATATTTTCTTAAGAAGTCTATGAGGAGATTTCATGGAATCACAGAATTACAGAATGGTTGAGGTTGGAAGGGACCTCTAGAGATCATCTAGCCCAACCCCCCCTGCTCAAGCAGGGATATCCAGAGCACGGGGCACCGGGTGGCATCCAGGTGGGTTTGTATTTACTATATTTTTCCAATGCTGTTTCTTTTAAGAAGCCTGAGATTAACACCAAAAAAAAAAAAAAAAAGGAAAAAACATGATTGCAAATTAGGTCACAGTGACAACCTGGCATCGTATAACACCTGATTAATCATATGGGCCAGAAATCTATATTTAGAATGGACTGTTTACAATCATCTTCACCATTAATTTGATTCTCCAGCCCCACCAAGAAAAATAAAGTTATTTTCAACTAATTCTACCAAAAAGAAAAACGTTTATCATCAAACCTCTTTTTCCTGCTTCTCTTCATRGGTCTGTTCCCAAGAGTCCCACACTAAGTTTGTGTTGAAATTTTCTTTTGAAGACTGTGTAGAATTAGAAGACCAAAAGCCTGAAGATGACAGGGGACCAGCACTGAAGGCTGCTGCAGTGTCATCCTCGTGGCCCATGCTGGAGTCCGCATAAGTTAACTCTGTAACTTGTGATAACTAGATGAAATAGAGCAAAGGGATATTTCATTTAGCTAAGACTTTTCTGATGCAAGTATGAAGTTCAAAGTAATCAGACCTTTCATTAGCTTTTATATCTCTTTGCACGTATATAGATGCAAGAGGAAATTTTCATGTGTTCAGATATGACTTTTTTTCACCCAAATTGCTCAGATATGACTTTTTTTCACCCAAATTGCAAGTGGAAGCTGGAGACAAACTTAGCTGTTATTTTGAGCCTGTACTTTTGGCCACGCTATGTCTGAAAAAAATGTCTCTAGACCATCAACCAGCAGGGGAAAAGAATAGCAAATGGAAACTCGTGGAATATAATATCAAAAAAGTAGTGGCAGCTCATGGGGATCTTGGCTAAAATACATGAGACAGACAAACTTCTCAGTACAAAATACTTGTCCTTGCTGAAACGAAAGCATCTTCTAATACTAGACACATCTATGGTTTTTACTCCACAAAACATGGTTTGACAGCATGATTGGGCCAGGACCCTGCAGAACAAGGCTGATGTATTTTATTTTATTTTATTTTATTTTATTTTATTTTATTTTATTTTATTTTATTTTATTTTATTTTATTTTATTTTATTTTATTTTATTTTATTTTTTGCAAGCATCTCCTGAGGGTCTCTGTGATGCAGGGATACAACAGGGCTCTAGGCATCTCTGAGGGATCTAAACTGAAAGCTTTGCTGACAGATTTACTAACCTGAGTGCTTTTTTTTCAATGCAATAATGGGATATGTCATAAAGAAAGCCTAAATTCCACCTACAGAGGGTTTTTCACTGTSAAAACCCTGTATAAACTTCCCAGTGGTATCCATTAAGACGTGCTCATAGTATTAATTCCTTCTCAGAGCCTCATTTTCTGCCTGTGCTGCTCACATTTCACCAGACCCTAATGCACATTGTTTTCAGTTGCCCTGCTGTGGCCTCAACCTCTTTCCCATCATCTCTGCCCACTGTGGCCAGCTTAGAGCACAGATATTCTTAAGTATTTTGGAAAAGGCCTAAAACAAGGTGAGCCTTTCAAGAAATAAGCAAGAAATAAGAGTAACAAGTGCAAAACAGGACCAGCAAATAACATCTGAATATAACCTTAAATTGAAAGCCTTCATCTGTTTCAATGCACATGAGATGTTCTTTGAAAAAAATCCCTTAAAAGTACAGACATTGCTGTATATTTTCAGCTTGAAATCAGTGAGGACAATAAACTTACATTATTCTGGTATTTTACTTTCTCTGAAAGATGCTGYCTTCTGCTGTCCATTACTTGTTTTTGTAACCTCGGAAAAACGAATTTAAAAAAAAATCTATGAAAATTAAGATATAAAATGTATAAAATAAAATAACCAAGAAGAATATTAATTTCAAAATATTTTAACAATATTTTTTTAGATATTTTAATAAAAGACTTTGTTTTTAAGAGGTTCTGAGCAGTCAGCCTGTGAATCAATAGCTTAAATGTATGTATATTTAGGTGGGAAAACAGTGAGAATGGAAAAGGCTGTTTGAACAGCCATCTCTGTGGCAGTAACTTAGCATATACAGGATCTCACATGACTAAAGAAATATTTTTTTTTTAGAGTGTCTGAACTTCATGTATAGCTATTTATTTAAAACAAAGAGTATCACAGGAATGTAAGGAATGGTTATTAAAGTTCTTTATCTTAGAGTAATATATTCATGTTTATTTGCTACCCTAATATSTGTTTTTTCAGACTTTTCCAAGGCAAGAAACAGCTGAGAACAGGCAAAAAGCAGAGTCTGAGAATCCTCTAGGCCCAGCTTGCTCCCCAAGGCAGTAATCAACTTTGTATCAGCCCTTCTCTCCATGTGAATTTATTAGTTTTATTTGCTATGGCACTTCAGTAGTTACTCCTTTTAACTTTTCAGAAATCAGATGGAAGAGCATCACGAAACCTACCTTCCAGAACCTCATTCTATCTCTAGATAMATATATTATCTTTTTTATATGAGTACCTGTTCTGGATGTCATCTAGGTTTGATGCATATCGGGTACGTGGTGGTGACATGGGAAGCTCTATGTTGTGTCTTTTAACAGGAATATTTAAGCCTCCACTCATGTCAACGTGGACTGGTTTCCTCACGCTCTCTGCAATTAAAGCATCTGCAAGATCAGCTTTGGGTTTGGAGAAACCTTTTAGGCTTCATGATCAATTAAAAACTATATATATATATWTTTTGCTTTGTTATTAGCAGTGCAAAAGCCCTACTTTAAGTGGCATTATAGGGTAAAATCATTTATTGTTGACCACAGTGTATAGATAATGCTCTGTTGAACCCCTCATTCACCTTCTGTTCTTCCTTTGGCCACACTCTGGCTTATGCACATGCTGAAAAGGAAAATAGTTAGAACTAAGGCTACTTAGAGGGAGTTTTTAGAGCATAATTAAGGATTTTAAGAAAGATATTCTAGGTATGAGAACTGACAGATAACTCCAAATGAAGATATGAGACAGGAAGCAGAATGGAATATTTAAATGTAAAAGGAAAAAGAAACCAGGGGTAAAATAAATGAAATGAGGAATTTGCATAAGTTTGGCTTTAAAGGGGATGCAGGCATTAATCAATGTTATTTGTTTCCTCTTATGTTTTGATTTTTTGTAGTCATTATCTTCACTTTTATTTTTAAATATAAGTAAACAAGATTATTTGAGCAACACCTTATAATCCAAAAGAAGAGTACAAAGAACCAAAATAATAGCAGTAATAGCTAAGAAAAACTGATTTGTTAATTGTGAAGTCAGACCATTTGTACACTAAACTCACCAGTGTTGTCCTTTTTGGTTGATATTTGGTTAACAACATACAGATTGAGGAGATCTAAACTGACTGCTGAACTTTTAGGAGATGAAGATACATCCAAAAGCTTCATCTTTGATTTAAGCTTCTTCTTCTCAAAGTATTCCTGTATTTTTCAAAAGAGACAGTAAGCTTWTTGACAGAAGCCATACAGCTCTTGAGCAGGATATATGACACTTTTAAAAAATGAGCATTCAAGAATTAGCAGAAAACTCCTAATAATGAAAGCACCTGACTAAATCTCTCCAAATTCACCCCCAGAGTATTACTTAATTTTGATTCTCCTGAAAAAGACAGCACTAATATTATTTGTTCATCTCGAAAAATAAATCACTTTTCTCTTGATGCCAAAAACATAGTCTGTAAACTCTTATGCCTCAATTTTATAAAAGCTGATTGAAAATGTTGCTTTAAAATAAAAGATATGCCAAAATCCTTCAAGGAAACAGTCTTTAAAAATTTTCAACTTGAGCTTTTGAGGCAGCTTATGAGCTAGCAGCCAAATCAGAAAGATTACGTACACATGGCCATCTACAGGGACACAGAGCTTATTGTTCTCCAAACCTGTCTTCTTTGGTGGAGAAAAGAGWCTTGTGACCAAAAAAGAAAAACAAAAAAGAAGAAAAAACTCTATTATTGGGACTTTGGAAGGCCTGTGTTGCAAGGAACAAAAAGCAAAATGATAAAAGACTTTGAATATATTAGGCAAGTAATTCTGTGTAACCCTAAAACACCACTAATAGCCATGTAAGGAGCAAAATGTTCATTTTGTAGCAAGTTAGCAACTGAACAAACCAAACAGTGTGACTTCTTCCTTTTAACCACAAGAAGACATGGAAAACTAAAGGCTATGGAAAACTAAAGGCTAAAACAAACAAACAAAACCCCCAGCTTTTCTCTGAAATGTAATTCCTCTCATGATAAGGGATTAATTTTGCAGTTGAGGTATAATTGATAAACCCAACATGCTTTTTAGTAGGTATTTTCCAGTATAAACTATCAGATCACAATTTTCAGCACCCTAGGACATTGGTACATGAGGAAAATACATATTCTTCAGGTAATAATATCTATGATCAGTTAAATTCAGCTTGTGTACAAACTAATATTTCAATATTCAAATTGCTTTGGAGCCCATACCTTTTAAAAGATATCTGGCTTCTTTCAACATCCTAGGTACTTTCTTCTAAAACACAAACTTGTCTCTGATACTTACCTGTTTCCTCTCCTCCACAAAAACAAATTGCACATTGTAACATAAACAGTGTCACTTACACCARTGAATTGCTGAGAAAATGGGTATTTTGTTAAGTCACATTCCCCCAAGGACTGGGGAAGTGATGAGGACAAGTGATGGGAGCTGCTGGTTGCTCCCCCAATCTTCTAAGTAGATAATTTTCATTTCAGAGATTGGTTTCGTACTGTGGTTGTGTTTTTTCTTGTGTGTGTGTCCGTGCATCTACTCTGCGCACTGGGTGGCAGCAGCCTTAGTGGCTGCCCATACATTACATTGCCTCTTCCCAGCATCCAAGGACTTATCTTCCTACAGTTATAAATATCTTCTCTTACTGCTTATGAAGATCTCTTCCTGAAATTCTTCTGCTGTGCCAGGAATAAATTTGATTTCCTAGTAGAATTTGATTCTATTAGTTCAGTTTCAGATTCAGTTAATACAACTAAGTTGGACTACTCACTTCAATGCTGAAATTAAGTACTCAAATGAACCTAACCTTTAAGTAGCCTCAGAAAAGAGCTGTTTGTATGTGCTAGGTTAGCTGACCATGTGTTGGGCGCCAGGAGGCTTCAACCTCATGTGTATCCCCTGCGTATCAGCACATATTGGCAAAATATAGTGACAAAAATGATATTGCCCATATGCAAAAATTCACTGGTGTCCTTTCCTACTTCCTTCTCTTGCTAGAATTGCGTGTGATAAACTTTGAAAAAGACTTCTGTCCTGAGAGTTACATGCAGGCAGGCAAACACATTGCCAGCYGTTTTCTGGAGGTTTTGAACCTCACACCAGTTGTTTGAAAAGACTTTCCATGATGAATCAACTAAAGCATTTCCACATAGTATTTGTGAACATAATTCATATATCCATGAATATAATATCCGTGATATTTTTACCTTTTGCTTCCGCCTTTCCTGCTTCAGTATAACTCTGCTCCTGAAAGACACAAATAATTATTGTTTTAATCAAGCAGAGTCTTGGGACACAACCTGAATTTCTTACCAGTTTTGGACTCRTGTTGTTATATCATGATGTTACAGTGAACCAAGCCTACAGGCGGATAAGTCAACATAAATCTGTTGAAAACACTTCAACTGATCCTGGCTTGCTCACCTGAGGATACAACCACTTTCTATCTCAGAACTACCAGACACAATGTACATTTAGAAGGAAAAACTTTTAAACAATTAACCTGCTATGCAATACATCATCTATTCTTAAATTATTAAAACTGTGTAAGAAAAACTCATGAATATATTTATTTCTGCTCATTTTCTTTTTTTGTCATGTTGTAATATAATTATAAAGATCTATTAGCAGAGAAAACAAAGGGATGCAACACAACTTCCTATCTTTCAAATCCATACGGAACGTTTTGTAAACAAAGTGTAAGAAAAATAAATTGTTTACTTGCAGTCAAACACTACAACTTTATTAAGCTGTTGTTTGTGCTGCACAGGAGACAGTTACAGCTTAACCTGTGATTTTCCCTTGTTAAATAGACTTTTAAATTATTACCTACAGAGTACAGAGCATAAACTATAATATAAATAAATATAAAATTTTTAATATGAAAAACTGATTCTTGGGCTAGACATCTGTATCATTACAGATGTGAACAGTGTGAATATGACTGTGATCTTTACAGGAGAAGGATCAGGAAATGCTTCCTGGGAGTTAAAAATATGGGGTAATCCCTTCAAGTTACAGTTTTTAATTTTTTTGGTATGTCTAAAATTAGAACACACTTTCTGACCTTATATGCATGAAATTTACACTCAAAACAGGGAGAAGCCCCAGCTATGCATATGTTTCTTGACATCTAAAATGCAAATGCCAGATTTGCAGAGGAATCCTGACAATCATCAKCAGCAGAAAGCAGCACGATGATTTAAGCTATCTGCTAAGTGACTGCAATACTCCGACGTCGTGCTTTTCCTGGAGACAGGAATGGACTCCTGCAGACAGGAGTGTATCACAGACAGGCATTTTGGACAAAGTTGATTTCAAACTGAAGCTCTCACTTCCCCCTGCTCACATGGGCAGCTATCAGAAACCTCCTCTTTCAAGCAGGACTTCCAGATGCACAAGGGGCTATTTTAGTTTTCTTCTGYGTGCACAGTTAGGATGATTCAAAAATTGTGTTTAGCAAAGCGCCTTTCAAACGYCTGACCAAATCCTGGGGGGTTAAATTCCTAATACATAGGCAGATTGTAGAGCCCTAAAGAAAAACAGCTGAACATTGTGCCTTTTATTTTAAYATTACCAGTCTAGTGGAGATTATTTTACTATTTCAGCAAGTCTCCTTTCTTTCCTCAAATAGGAGGCATGCGAATACCTTCATTATTCCAAGAGGACTGGTGGATGGAAGTTTCTGTAGCCAATATATCAGGCAAATGGGATTATGTGGGTATTGTTTTCATTGCTGCCACTGTGTTCCTCACTGCCTCTGGGATAAATAAACCTCCACCATTTCTTACAGTATCTTATCTGCAAATAGGAGGAGTACAGCACTGTTCTTCTTTTTTGCGTCCCCTTTGAAGTGTTGTGTCTATTAAGCTCTCAGACAGGGATCATTTTCTACTGGCTCTTTGCAGAGTCAAGCATCTAGGGATTATCAGCTCAAAAGGGGCCTCTAGATACTGCTAAAATTGTAATAATTAAAAAATAAAATAGTAATTTCAAAACATGCTCCTGAAAAGCTACATCTTTCTAATTATTAGGCTGATTTCTGTTAACTTACGGAAAATACACCAAGGATCTGCAAATGAATGTTGATAAACATTTTTTTTTAATGAATATGATTAATTCCTGACCGGCTTATAATGACAAGCAGTTTCTGAATTGCATAAATAATTCAGTTATGTCTTTTCATAGTCTGTTCCCTAAATAAATCTGTAAGGTGAGGAATAAAGTGCCATTGGGTGTCTTCACTAATCACCTGAAGTGGMTTCACAGTTGGAGCTAAGGGAGAAGAGGATGCATCAGGGGGAGCAGCAGAAGGAAATCAGTCTGTTGCACCCAGATAATAAGCTGGCAACATCATGTGTCTTCCAACATTTTTTTGTGCTTTGTGTAATTTGAGATGTTAAACAACTAGATTTTTAATTGTATTTAATATATATTATTTGGAAATTTTACCTCTAATTCATCTAGCCKTTTTATATGTCAGGGTCTGTGGCCTAGAGAAAAAGTCTGAGCACCTGCACAGCACTGCGGAAGGGCTGAGGCTGGCAGGGGCCTCTGGAGGTCACCTGGGCCACCCCCTGCTCAGGGAGTGTCACCCTCAGCTCCTCACTGTCACATAGCCATGGCTAAGGCAGTTTTGGTGAAACTGCATCAGTAACAGGGCTCATATCCCACCTGCTTTGGTGGGATCTGGCGCATCCGCGTCCCTTCAGGCGGTCTGCGCCGCAAGGGACACCAGGGCTGTCACCCACACCATGACCCAGCCTGGAGGGGACACTGGGGCTATCATGTAGAGCCCCAGCACGTGCTTTCCTGCAGCCCCAAGAGCTTCACTCACCGGCTGCCCCCGACCCAGTTCATGTCGTCGGCGGCGGTGGCAGCAGCAGCGCAAGGCTGGGCAGCACCACGCGCTGCTGGGCCGCAGCAGGGTGTCGATGGCGCTGGGGGCAACGC